ATTAGCTGCGACATATGAATCAAGATGCTATGACCGAAAACATTTGATTGACAGATGACCGTTGATATATGATTGGCCGAATTTAGGTGTTCAGGCTGACGTAGAACTAACTGGCCTGAAGAAGATAATGAAAAAAAAAACACAGATTTTTTTAATAGAACATTTCTAAATTTTATTATACATGTTTAAGCCAGAATGGTTTGACATTTAAATATGATTTCCCTATGATTTTAAATGAACACACTCTCAGAAAATAAATAATTTTTATATATATAAAAGAAAGCTGACTAATAGCTTCTCCAATATTAAAGTGGTGCATCATTTTAGGTTTGTGACATCATATTGGAGCGTGCAAAACACAGATTTACTCCCACAGCCTCAGAAGGACAAGATGTACAAAAAGTAAACCTGGACATGAATGTTTTGTTTTCATAAAGTGTTTTTATAAGGTTTTTTTGTTGTTGGCATTCATATAAATATACTGGTGTGATAACTTAGTATACATTTGATTGGTTTTTGGTATACGTCTGAGAAAACTCCACCAGCCGCCGCTGCTACCCAGTAAAATGATGATGATGATGATCCTGGTGTTCCATTTATGACCTTAAAGAGAATAAAGGACAAATAGAAGCTGAATAGATGCTGATCTAGCTGCAGCTCTATTCCCTGACAGCTTTAAGCAGCGGCTGGACGCCGCAGCCGGAGCCCCGTCCAGCCTGGCGGCGCTCCGGTTGCGCCGCGAGCCGACAGCAGACGTTCGCGGATTCTGTGGCGTCTCATGCTGGGTGTGAACCTGCAGGCTGGAAACCTTCTGGTCTCTGGTGCAGAACTTCAGGATGAAACCGATGCATCGATGAGGAACAGTTTCCTCTCGGGTTTAGTTGGAACATGCTGCAGCTCCTTCAGGCACGGATCAGGTTCCAGAACCGTTCGCTCCGCCAGGCCTGGCTGACATCCAGCAGGGATCCCCTGGCTCCTGTTTCCAGACAAAATATCCAGTTTCTAGTTTCTTTAAATGGCTCTCAGTGTGGCCCCAGGGCCCCCGGAGACCCGGGTCAGCCAGGCTCTGAAGCCTTAAATGGTTAAAATGGTCCCTTGTGTGTGGAGGGAACCGCTATCTCCAATATTATGGGTTGATGCTGGAAGAACGAGGTCAGAGACGAAGGCTCAACATCCCTCCTCATCCTCCTCTCTGCTCCAAACGTTATTCATCCAAAGAAACAAACCAGCGTGGCGTCATGCTGAGGAGGTGATCTTGCACCATCAGGTCTGGGCTGTGATCCGGCGTTCTGCTGCAGGGCCCGGATGGGGGGAGTTCCTGCTGGTTTCTAGCAGACGGATCTCCTTTAATGTGAACTCTGAGTCATTCTTTGTTGTGCTGCAGATTTGAACGAGCATCACCGGAGGGCAGATTCCCACTAATCACAGCCAAAGCGAACTGGATGCGACTTGTTGTCCTGGGTTCTGGTGAAATCCCAGTCGTTTTCTCAGGCTTCTCTTGGACTTCTGCTGACCCGGTTCCTCGCCCGTCCTTTGGAGGCATTTCCTCTTGCAGGCAGGAAGCTCAATGTAAGCGGCATGCTGTCACATGTTCGCTCTGGAGAAAGGCTTCTTCCTGACGACCCAGGGAACCGCCTGCAGCGGTCAGCTGATGCGTTAAACCAGCTTTCAAAGGTTCTGCTCTGGTTTATTAAATAAATCTGGACGTTTGTTAAAGTATGGAGTGAATTTTGTTCCATTATTGCTGCAGACAAAGAGCACGTTTTGAAAATTAAAATTTCAAAACAATCCAAACCAGGAATTATTATTTTATTTTATTTTTTTAAAATCCAGGAATTAAAGGTGCAGTAGGAGATATTTTTTGTTGCGTTTTTTACCATGTGGCTTAAAGATCTCCTGATAGCCGCTTAGCAAGCAGTGAAAAAGAAGGTCTGGAAGTGAAGTGAATTTACTGTATGGAAAATATGATTCTTTATGAAATACTTTATAATCCTGAAATTGAGAGGTCCTATTTTTTTTTATTTGAAAAAGGAGCACTTTTATCTATAACCATTGGTTCATAACCATTAATATTTTGTTAATACTTAGAGTGCGGCGTTATGTTGCATCATGCAGTAAATGTGTTTTTTTTACCTCAATAAATTTAAGGTCATTCCTATTTTATTTGTTTACATTTTATTCTTTTTACGACTGAAATAACAGTGAAGGTTAAAAAAAAAACTAAATCTGCAAAAATTAAAATGGGGGGAAAAAAAAACGGAATTTTCAAAAATTAAAACGGAATTTCTGAGAAAATGAAAGGGATTTTATAGGGCCCTAGACGACCTGGGTACCAGGGTTTAGTGCTTAGCCC